CCACCCCTAACCGTGGGGCTGGCATGTGGGCTGCACGTGGGAAAGTTTGTGAACTGAAGCTTCCTGTCCCCATTATCCAGGTGGGGAAGTGGAGGCAGGAGAGGGGAGCAGGGGGACCCGTGCCTAGAGGTTCCCCCACGGAGGGACATGCTGTGGCCCAGCTCCCCTGCCACAGGGAGGGGACCCTGAATTCCCGCGGCAGCTCCCTCCACCCCTGCCAGCACCTTGGCCCGCAGGTCTGTCCTTGTCTGAGGCAGAGGGTAGATGGCTCGGGACTGGCAGGGCCCTGGAATGCAGAGGCCTACTTCCTGGTTAAAGCTGTGAAATGTCATACTATCTTGGCCCCTGCTCTCGCCCCTCAGACCCAAGGCTCTGTGGACGTTGGGTGGAGGTAGATTCTAGGGGCCTGGGGCTGCGTGACGAGGCCAGGGCTTCCTGCAGCTTCTCAGTGCTTTTCTCTCCTGCTGCTTCGTCGCAGGAGCTGGGGGGGAGACTAGGCCACGGTGGGCGGTTCCATCCGGTCCTGGGTCTTGGGCCCCAGGCCGGGTCTGCCCAGTCCCCCAGTGCCGAGGAAGGGCCACTGGGGTGCCCCTCCTCCTTCCCTGCCAGCCCCCCACGGGGCTGGGCTTTCTCCTGCCCTCCTGGGTACAGGTTATAGCTGGACCCCCCCTGCCCTGGTCAGGAAGGAGGCTGGTGGTGGGCAGTGTCTGGACAGCAGCGAGGCGAGGGGCTGGGTGGGGGGAGTTCGGCAAGGGGAGGTGTGGGGGCCAGTGGCCTCCGAGGCCTGGAGGGCTGGTGCTTGCCTCCCACTTGCTGTGATCACCCCGGTCTTTTCTCCGTCTCCTTCCTCGGGCCTTACCTGAATGCACGGTTTTGTTTTTGTCTCTGGGCCTGCGCTCACTGCCGTGGCCTGAGCGTGGCCTCTCTGTCTTATGCATCTCTTGCCACCTCTTCCTCTGTCTGCCTTGCCCTCCATCTTGCTCCATTTCTTCTCCCACCACTCATTTCCTCCCTCCCTCCCTTTCGTCCGTTCTCTCCACTCTCCCTCCCTCCCTCACCCTCTCTCCTTCCTCTCTCTACCCAGACGCAATTCTGAGATGTAATTCCGGATCTCAAAAGGGGTGGAAGCTGGGAGAGGGGGGTGACCAGAGGGCTGCAGATGACTAGACAGTACCAGACAGGCCCCTTGGTGGCCCTTGCACCATTGCTGCCCCCTCCCCTGCGCTGGTTTAGCAGCTGTCAGATCTCAGAGGGTCTGGAGCACAAGACAGCCAGGGCACAGGAGCCTGGCTGCCGTGTGCCCACCGCCCATCCGCCGCCAGTGGATCCCGGTCTTCAGGACGTGGGAAGGAGAATGTCACCCCTTTGCTACCCTCCATCTCCGACCGGGTAGCCTCAACTCAAGGCCATGGGTGGAGGGAGCAGCGGGCCTCGGCTGGGACCCAACAGCAGCAGGGAGTTTTGGGCGGTGGGTCGGGGCGGGGAGGGTGCGGGGACAGGCGGCAAGTCGTGAATTCTGATTTACATGAAATAGCTGGGCTTTGGCCGGAACCTGAGCATATGTAGATGAAGCTCCTTGTCAGACCCAGCGCAGGAGGGAGAGATGATTTCAACCTGTACTGCAGCGGTTACCATAGCAACCAATTATTCAGTGCTAAATTATAACTGTTTATAACACTCGTGAATGGGAAGGCTCATATTTCATTCTTTCTTTTTCCCTCTCAATCTTGAAGGATCCCAAATTGAGAATGACCAACTCTCCAAGTCCTTCCTTTTGCGTTTAAATGCCTCCTTTTTGGAGAGATGCGGTGTGTGTTGAGCGCTGTGCACAGAGGGAAGGGAGAGGGGAGTGGGAGACCTGGATCAAAGGACATCTGCAGAGCTGGGGTGAGGAAAGGCAGGCGTGGGATGCCCACTCGGGGCCCCCAGGGTCTGCATGGTGGCATGCGGTGCCCTCCCTGGGTCGGAGGCTCCGGGCAGAGCCCCTCTTGCCCACCGCCAGCTCCTTGCACAGCCAGCCTGGGTGTCGTGTTTAAGGCAGCTTTGCAGAAGGATTCTGTTGGGACTCACTTGGATTCTTCTGCTCTCAGGTGCAGCCCCTGTAGTCAGGCCTGGGGCTGCTGCAGCCCAAAGGACAGTGTCAAGGTCACAGCCCAGGTGGGTCCTGACGTTCAGAGCCCACAGTGTGGCTCAAGGCTGAGGTTGGTTCAGGGCTTTATTAGGGCGTTTTCGCTCTGTGCCCATGTCTCCCCTGTGAATGTGGCTCTGTGCCCCCCTCGTAAGTTTTGAGACGCTGAACGGCTGGTCTGCTCCTGGTTCAGTCTTTCCTCTCCATCTTGCCGCTGGCTGACCTGCGTCCCTCCAGGTCCTGCTGATGGGTCACTCCTCTCTGAGGTATTTCCAGAACCATTTGCTGCCCTTCTGCTCACCCTCTTCTCTGCAAGGGAAGATTTAGGAAAAACAAAACACACAAAAAAGGAGGCCCTGATCTAGATATGTCTAAACAGCTGGGTGCAGAGAGATGCTGTGGATATAGACGGTACCAGCGGGAAGCCAATTTCCAAAGACCCGTCCTGGGCAGGAGGGCTTGGATGTGGTCGGATGCGGGTGGGAGTGGGGCAGGGGGTGTGAGCTTCATTTGTGGAGGGCCCAGAGGGGATGGGGGAGTGGGCGAGGAGTTGGAGAACTGGGGAATCGGAGTCTTCGGCCGGGCTTTCCCCAGTGCAAGGAGGAGTCTCTCCCTTCCCTGAAATTAGGGGTGGCTGTCCTTGCCATCCCCCAGTGGGCAACTGGGCTGCCAATGAGTGGCAGATGTGCCCTGCTGCGGTTCCAGCTCATTCCTCGAGAAGGAACTTTGCCCTCCTGCCCTCCTACTTAGTCCCAGCATGGTTGCTGTGGGGGCAGCCCCCCTGTCAGTGCCTAGCTTGGAGCCTTCTGCCAGCCCCCCCGCCACAGGGTGCACACACAGACAGGGGGTGTTTGCTGGAGGTGCCTTACCACCTTTTGTGGCATCCCCATTTCACAGATGAGGAGGCTGAGGTCAGGGTGCTGCAGTTACGTGTCCAATTCTCAGGCTAGGAATGGTCAGAGCTCTGAGGCAGTCTCTGTCTTGTAGTGTCCCCAGGGAGCCCCAGCACCCCTGCGTGGGTCGTTCTGCCTCCTCCCTGATCTGGTTTGTGAGGTCCCGGGGACAGCTGAGGGCCAGCCCCATGCCCCCTCCCTTGGCCCGTCCCACAGCCTCTGTCCGCGGTGCTGAAGTGTGTGGCAGCCTCCTCCTCCCATCCTTACCTTTGCTGGGGTGTGGGCTGGGATAGAGCCTGTCTCTCAGGTCTCCCGAAGGGTAGTCTTTCCAAGCTGGCCGAATTCTATACCCTCGGGAGAAATGGGCATCCCTGGCTGACCCCTGCCTCCCCAAAGAACTGAGGCAGAGCTGGGAGCTGTGGCCACCAGCCCTGGGAACAGGAGTACCTGCGCGGCTGTCCTGCCCTGGGCAGGATCTGGCAGCAGCCAGGACCAGCACTGCCCCTGGGGCCTGGTGTGGCCGAGTCAGTATTCCGGGAAACACTTGGGTTCCGGAAAGGCCCAGAGGCCCTGCTGCCTGCTAACGGCCAGCCAGCACACTGACTCAGCAGCTTAATGGGCATAAAAGGTTTGGGAGCAGGGAGCTGGCTGCGAGGAGAGTGAGCTGAGCGTGCGGGAGACTCGGGAGTGGAGGGACTCCATGGGTGGGTCCTTTGCAGCTGCATCTCAAGGAGAGCCTCCTTCCTGGGAAAAGACTCTCAACTCTTCAGGGTGGCTGGGAAGGGTGGAAAGCGGGCTGGGAGCCCCCCAGGGTTATCCAGACAGACCCCCTGCCCTTGCCGCCCTCCTCCTCTCTGCTCCCACCCGCCCCCTCCCTTCCCTTCTCCCTCCTCCCCTCCTTCCCTCTCCCTCCTCCCTCTCCATCTCCCTCATTGCTCTTTCTGGAGCTCATCCTTCATCTCTCCAGTTCTCTCTTCATCTCTTCCATGCTCACCTTGAAGACAGTAAACAGCCAGCATGAAGATGCCAAGTGTCATCTTCATTGGCACATCAGTGCTGGTCTCAGACCCAGGCCTGGAGGGGCTGGGAGGGGCTAGAAGGGCTTTGTCAGACCGCTTGCATTTGGAAAAGCCTCGAATACCCAGCTTTCTCTGAGGGGCAGTGCCTTTCTGGTGGGGATGCTCTGTCTGTAAACATCCTTATCTCCATATAAATGGGCCATTTTCTGTTTGTACAGAAGGGAAACTAAATCAAGGAAGCCAAGCTTGAGAGCTGCCTAAATTACCTTGTCTCATATGGAGACGAAGCGGCCAGGGTGGGGGCGATGGGGAAGGTGGGCTTGTGCTGTAGCCGCTTCCGGAGAGCGCACAGGCAGATAAAACTGGGATGTGCGCTCCCTGTTAATTATAGGTTCTGCTTGACACATGCGATTCCATAGGATGCATACGTAAGCAGAGAGGTGAGGAACTGGGAGCTAGATCCAGGCAGGAGCCTGGCCTGCAGTTTGTTCTTTGGCTCTGGGCATTACATCGTCTGCCTCGAGCTCCTGGGTCCAAGTGCCATCTGTTGACACTCGTTAAAATCCCAAAGTCCATAGAAACCTGAAATGGAGTCTGGAGCCTCACCCCAGGGCCATTCAAGCAGGTCGCGCTGAGCTTGCCCGGTGGGGAAGTCTGACTTCACCCGAGGCCTTGGCTCTCCTGCACAGCACCGTTTGTCACTGACCAGTCCTCGGGGGTGAGACCCCTGGCTTGAGCTGACTCAGGGCAGCCCCTCTGGCTGGGCGTGGCGATCTGGTGGGTGTGAATGATCCAGGAAGCCTGAGCTGCTGACCAGCTTTGCCAGGAGGCCACTTCGGGGCAGTACTGTGGCCCAGGACTCTGCGTTTTCTCTGGGCCCCTGTTGTCCTCACTGTCCCCCTTCTCTTCCAGGGGAGCAACGACGAGCTGTCGGAAAATGAAGAGGATCTGGAGGAGAAGTCGGAGAGTGAGGGCAGTGACTACTCCCCAAATAAAAAGAAAAAGAAAAAACTCAAGGACAAGAAGGAGAAAAAAGCCAAGCGTAAAAAGAAGGAGGAGGAGGAGGAGGAGAATGAGGACGGATGCCTCAAGGTGAGACTGAGGCCTGGCTGGGGTGGACACCTGCTTGGATGGGCTGAGCTTCCCACTGTCAACCGTCTGCCTTTGTCCTGGGAGCCCCCTAGTGAGCAGGGCCGGAGCATCCTTTCCCACGAGTAGCTGTCGGGGCAGATGGGTCTGTGGGTGCGAGTGCGCATGCGTGTGCACACACATGGTGGCTGGACGCAAGCAGGTGAGAAAGGCTGTAGCCACAAGTCTGGGAGACACACTTGAAATCGATGGATGACGTTTAGGAGTTTGGAGAGGAAGTCGGGCGGCCTCTCGCTGATGCATTATCCGCTGTCTTGCCCCGTTGAGCGCGCAGCTGTTTCTGAGGAGAGTGATGGTCTGAGCTCGAGTTTCGTGTCAGGAACCTCTTGCTTGGAGCAATTTGGGAAAATAAAACAAATGGGAGCTTTTGCCAAGAAGAAGCGGCTGGACAGCTCTGCTGATGGTGAAGAGGGGACTTTGTTAACACGTGTTCTGAAACTGCGCCCGCATGGGCATCTGAGAGTGTCCCAGTGAGCGTGACTCAGGGAAGCTGTGGTGACGCAGCTCTCCCCTCTTCCCTGGGAATGTGGGGAGCGACGTGCATGAGCCGAGGCCCCTGGACTCGCCAGGCCCCACCGTGGGGGCTCCTCGGGGAGGGGAAGGGGCCGAGGGTAAGGCTGGCAGACGGGCTCTGGGTCAGGCAGGGGCAGATGACAGAACGTCACCCAGGAGTCCCCGCTTCCTCGGTTCTTTCACGTGGCCCCCAGGCTCAGTCTGGGCTGGCCGTGGATTTAAAGATAAGATAATTAAAGGTGCTAATACAGTGGCTGTCGGGTGAGGCAGAGGTGGTGGTGTCAGTGACCGCAGTTAGGCAGTGCCGGTGGTGTCTGACACACAGAGGGAGCACGTTGGTTGGTAGGTGCGTTATGAGTCATCTGTGACTGATAATAGCTGAGGGCCTGGCTGCTCTGAGAGGTGAACTTACGGGAGTGATTCAGGGTTATCCTGTAACGATGTCATCACTTGCTCTCTGGCTGCCCTGCTTCCTGGTGGGACTGAGCCTGATTGCCTCCAGGAATGGCCGCGGGTTGGCGGCAGGTCAGCCAAAGGAGGGGTCCCACATGGGAACATTTCTGAACTGTCACAGAGAACAGGAGGCCCAGAAGCAGGTCCCTTGGGGCCGAGGGAGGCTGTGTGTTCCACCCGGGGGGCCCTCCATTCGTTGCTGGAGCAGACAGCTCAGCTCTGAGGGGCTTGGGCAGTAAAAGGGATTTGTTAGGTCAGCGCCCCTGAGAGTTGAGAGGCAAGGGACTTCCAGCTAGTGGGACCCAGTGGTGTCATCCACAGCCGTTTTTTTGCCTCCGTGGGGTCAGGCCAGGCATCCTCGTGGCCGAGAATGTGTGTAGCAGCAGCTCCCCACTGCCTCCTCCAGCAGAAGGGAGAGCTGGCCTGTGACCCAGGGGTGCCCTTGTCTGGGCTGGGTTAAGTCACATGCCCACCTGGATTGTGGCCTGGGAGTAGTGTGTGCTGATCGGTGGGATGGATCAGTGGGTGGGGCTGGGGCAGCTCTGGGCTCCCTTGAACAAGTGGGAAATCGGGGTGAGGGCCCTGTTCCGAGCACTTGTGCTAACAGTGTCCCTCCTGTGAGGGAGGTGCTGTTACCCCCATTTTACAGATAGGGAAACTGAGGTCCACTCTGTTCCCAGCCAACCCGGGTCTGCCTGGTGACCTGACACCCGAGTTGCTGTTTTGAGAGTTCATTGTGTGCCCTTTGGGAACTCACACGCCTCTCTGGGCCTCAGCCCCCTATGCGGAAAGGGCCGCAGTAGCTGAGGGACCTTCTCGGGGCTCTACCCCTAAGTGGACTGCTGTCCTGTGCCCCTGTCCTGGCCCCAGAACCCAAAGTGGCCTGTCCATTCACGAGGTCCCTGAGTGACTGTACCAGGTGACATCCTGGGGCAGCCTGATTCCTCCCAGCATGCCCAGGCAGCCCCTTGGCCCTGCTGCCTCCCCAGGGACAGCTGCCCTCCTAAAACCCATCTTCAGGCTGCTGCTTTGTCCTGATGCTCAGGTTCCCTTGGAGAGCGAGTCCTGCTCTTGCTCCTGCTCTGGGCATGCACATGGCTTCCCCTAGGCACTCGGCCCCGCCCCCTCCTTGTGCGCTGGCATCTGAGGCATTTCCACTGATCAAGCGGCTGGCAGCTGGGGTGCTCCAGGATGTTTTCAGGGTTGGGGAGAAGTGCTTGCAATCCCTCCGCTTTTCCGAGGCCTCCTGAGTGGGGTCCCAGGGGTGGGGGTGCAGGTTAGAAGGATCCCCACTTCTGATTCCACCTCTGCCTCGTGTGTCCGTAGGAGCCCAAGTCCTCGGGGCAGCTCATGGCCGAGTGGGGCCTGGACGATGTGGACTACCTGTTCTCAGAGGCCGACTACCACACGCTGACCAACTACAAGGCCTTCAGCCAGTTCCTCAGGTGGGCCCTGGGGCTGCTATGGAGACTGCCCTTGAGGCTTGACTCCCCAGGGGGCACCAAGTAGAGGGGCAGAGGAGCAGAGCCCTGGGCTTCTGGAGTAGGGTGGGTGGTCAGGCTGACACTGACCCTGGGCAGATCCCACGGGAGGGTCAAGACCCTTCCATTTTAGCAGATGGTCCCGCCGTCTCTTGCTGGCCCTACGTGAGGTCAGTCCTGGGGGTCTTAAGCCCCCATGGCTGCTCTCAGCTCTTGAAGAAATGGGACCAGACACCAAGGGGCCATCTGTAGTCCCCACCCTCTGGCCCCTCAGGTCTTACAGGGTCTGGAAACCCAATTAGAAGATCACATAAGAGAGAAACAGGAGCATTTGGGGTGGACCTGTGTCTCTCTTTGTCCTCTTCCCTGCCCCTCCTTTCCGCCCAGTTTTCCCAGTTTGCCATGTATCCCAGGTGTGGGAGAAGAAGAGTTGGGGTCACATGGGAGTCTCGTCCCCTCCACGGTGCTGCCCTCACCCTCCTGCCTCTTCCCCCCACTTAGGCCACTCATCGCCAAGAAGAACCCAAAGATCCCCATGTCCAAAATGATGACTGTCCTGGGCGCCAAGTGGCGGGAGTTCAGTGCCAACAACCCCTTCAAGGGCAGCTCGGCCGCGGCAGCCGCGGCGGCAGTGGCAGCGGCCGTAGAGACGGTCACCATCGCGCCTCCACTGGCCATCAGCCCCCAGCAGGCACCCCAGCCTGTGCCGATCCGCAAGGCCAAGACCAAGGAGGGCAAGGGTAAGGCTGTGGGTGGGCACCCAGTCCTGCTGGCAGAGGCCCCCCCCTGCAGCCGGGGGCAGCTAGGGCAGCCTGGCCGGTCTTTATCAGGGCCCCAGTGCCGTGGTTGACCTTGGACCCACACACCCTTTCTCAGCTGTGTTGCGGCATCTGTCCAGCCTTCCTTTGGGGCTGGTGGGGAAGTGGAGGAGGTGCTGTGCTCAGAGCTTTGGGAGGTTTCCTGGCCGTGCAGGAAGGCACAAGGGTGGCCCATGCTGCTGGGAGTTGGGGCTTTTGAGTTGGAGGCTGCACCATTCCCAGGGAGAAGAGGTCCCAGGGTGACCCACTGATCCCTCTCGTCTGAGCACCTGGCCCTTGGGGTAATGGGTGTGGTCAGGGCCAGCGTCCCAGGGAGGCCTGGAAGGAGTTCCAGGTACAAAATCTGACTCCGTGGGGGCATCTGGTTGGGAGGAGAGGACCAAGAGGCTCTCTGTGACTTGAAGTTCTAGGGGAGGGAACTTCTTTCCCTGGGTGGAGGGTTTCTGGCCCCCCTGGGGGTAGGGAGACTGATCTCCCCAGGGCTCTGAATGGTGGGGTTGCCCACAGCTCACCTTCCTGGGTGCCCTAATCTGGGTTTTGATGTGGGGAAGAGAGGACTCTGGGGACCCCTTGTTTCCGCCCCAAGGAGCTTTGGTCTCTAGGACGATGGGCCCCTCTGCTGGGTCCCTGCAGGGGCCGGGTGGGTGAGTGACGTGGGCTTTGGAGCCTGCCCCTGCTCCACTCCCTCGCGTCCTCCCAGCCCGCCTTCGCCTTCGTTCTCATTTCCTCTCGGGCTCCAGCCGCTGAGCAATCGATTCCCTGGGCTGCCTATTCAGAACCTGAAAAATTGAAATAGATTTTCTGTGGCGCCAGTGAAGTTACAACTGGGCTCCCTGTCCCTTCTCTCTGTGTGCGGTGTGGGTGGTGGAGAAGGGCCCGGGGCGAGGCCACCTGCCTCCAGGCCCCCTCCTTCCCTGCTCAGCATGGCGGGAGAGGCTGCTGGGGGGTCATTACTCTCCAGGTGGCTAATTGTCCTGTGGCCAGCTCCGTTAAAAACAGACTCAGCCCTGCTGGCCTCCTGGGAGCCGGTGTTCCCTGGGGGACATTGGCA